GTTCATGCCTTAATAATTATGCTGTAGTCCAAAGAGCGTGGTTTCCAAGCCACGGGGGGCTTTTACCCCCCAGCATTGTGGTTCTGTACCACGACCAGGCTTTGGGATCAGCTGGAGATTGGAGAAAGAGGAGTCTTCAGCTACTTCTAAAGGCCAGCCTTTCATCCCACGACCTGTCAGTCATCACCACGTCTTGTACACTGACTAATTCCTCTCTCCACATGCCTCCGTGGTCAGCAGCGTCCACATGCTGATGACGATGGTGAGCGCAGGTTGGTTGGTGTGGGAGTGCAGAACCCAGTGTGTGGTCGGGCAGCGGGGTTAGAAGGTAAGGAAGAGATGACCTGTGCTGATAGTTAGGCAAAGACGATGAGAAGAGAGAGAGAGGCTGAACGCAGGAAGTGGACGTGAGGGAGGGTCTTTTGTTTGTCAGAACGGAAGAGAATGGAACACGTCTGTGTCGAGTGGAGAGAAGCTACATGAATGAAGACGGTGGAAGGAGGTCCTATCCTGAGGAGACCTGGAGATAGAGGAGGGGCATCTTTTCCACTGGCTTGGGAGGTAAACGTTTTGGTCAAAGGTGTGTAAGTTTTGTGGCAGGAAGTTAAGGAGTTCTTTGCTTACAGTTGCAGTTTTCTGTGAACAGATGCCAAAGTTTTTAGGAGGCATTAGGAGGAGGCTTCAAAGGGGTCTGGAGGTTGAAGGAGAATGGTTGGCTGTGTTTCGGGGTCCTCTTGTTGATCTGACTTTGTTGTGTGTCACTCTGTGTCTTTGGGGGAGCTGGTATTTGTCCCAGCAGTGCTCACCTGCCCAGTAAGAAGTGATGCTTACATTTTTGCTGGAGCTGGGTGAAGAGGTATTTAGGATATTGGTATGGAAGGGGCTAAGGTGATGGTGATGGAATTAAAGACAGACATGGATAGTGTGAAGGGACTTTATGTCCTGACAGGCTGACAAGTGAAGAGTCTGAACTATAGGAGGTGCTGGTTAGAGTGGGTGTGTGCTTCTCTGTTTATTTTATGTACCACAAATATTAGCAAGGGAATATAAATATGCTATTATCTTCGTTTGCTTTCTAAGTTAAAACTCCAGGCTCGCTGACATCCAACCAATTCTGACTCACAATGTTCCTGTAGGGCAGAGAACATCTGCCTCTTTGGGCTCCCAAAGCTGTAAATCTATGGGAGCAGAAAGCCCCATCTTTCGAACTGTTGACCTTGAGGTTAACAGCTTGAGGCATAACCCACTGTGCCATCAGGGCTCCTTAATAATGAAATCTGTACACGAGCAGACAGCCACATCTTTGGAGCAAACGATGGGTTCAGAAAGCTGTCTTTGTGGTTAGCAGCTCAGTGCAGATGTTTGGAGGAATAATTGACTACAGGTTCATGGTTGGAGTTTCATTGGCCTGTGTATCTTATGAGCCCTTGGAGCCCAGGGTTTCACTCTGGAAATGTCCAGTGATGTCTGTGGCCCAGTTTTAGCAAGTGCTCAGCATTCCAAGCTGTGTTTTGCAAGCCTCGTTCCTGGCTCTTATCTCTGTAGTTCCTTATTTTTCCTTTGTCTTTCTCACCTACTTGTAATTTATGCCATTTGATCATATTTATGTATCTCTGCATCGTTTTAGAACAAGTTGTGGTAAAATAAATTCAGATTCTAAGAGAGTGAGCATTCTTATTTCATGACGACTTTTACCTTTCTGCTTTCCAAAACATCAGTTAAACTTAAGAGTGCTGTATTCAATCCCTTGGGTTCTCAAAGGAATTTTTAAAATGACAATTTGTGTGTGTGTGTGTGTGTGTGTGTGTGAGAGAGAGAGAGAGAGAGAGAGAGAGACTATGAAACTGCTATGTGAGAATGATAGAAAATTTGGAAATAGGAAAAAGGGGGAACTGATTGCAATAATTAACATATAACACACACACCCCTGCCCAGGGGGACGAACAGTAGCAACGTGGGTAAAGGGAGACAGCAGATGGTGTAAAATATGAAAATAAAAATAATTTATCAATTATCAAGGGTTCACGAGGGTCGGGAGGGAGGGGGGGAAAAGAGGAGCTGATACCAAGGGCTCAAGTAGAAAGAATGTTTTGGAAATGATGACGGCAACATATGTATAAATGTGCTTGATACAATTGATGTATGGATTGTTGTAAGAACTGTAAGAGCCCTCAATAAAATGATTTATTTAAAAAAGTTTTTAAGAAAATTTGGAAATAATGGTGAGTATAAAGAAGACAATGATCATTATCACTTCTAATTTATTTCTTCTAGTTTTCATATCCAGATTCTGAATGTCAATGAAATTATAATGTATGCACAATTAATCTTGCATTCTGCCATTTTCCCTCAAAACCATATTGAGGTAATGTTGGTATTAAAATGCCTTGTAGATATGATTATGATAACCATAGAATAAACGTGCCATCATTTCTGACAGGTTGTTACTGTTAGTGAGGTAGGTTGCTTGGAATTCCTTGCTGTTTCCGAGAAGGCTGCCGTGAATATCATGATGCCCGTGCCTTTGCTACCATCGTGAGAAACTTCCTCAGGCCGCGCCCCTTTAAGACAGTCCCTCATGTGGTGGGGACCTCCACCCATCAAATTATTTTTGTTGCTACTTCATCACTGTCATTTTGCTACTGTTAAGAATCAGGCAACCCCTGTGAAAGGGTCGTTCCATCCCCAAAGGGGTCGCGATCCACCAGTTGAGAACCGCTGCTTTAGATGATAATTGTTTCAAATAGATTTTATTGTTTAAAAGAGATTCCCAGAATTAGACTAGCAGGGATTAAAGACAAATGTAAACAAAATTAAATCATAAATGCAGTAGAGGAGAGCACGGACGAATTTGTGTAAGTGTCCTGTGGGTGGCCATCTTCTGGATGGCCCCACAAGCAGCAACCGGAAAGGGGGAAGTGGGTGAACTGGATTGCAAAACAGTTAGATAATCTGTACCAGAAAAACCACTTGGAATTTGTACGATAGGCAAATGGCTTTCATAGATGACGAGATCCGGCTGACAATTTTTAAGAAGGCACAACAGAGGAAAAATATGCAGCCAACAAACATTTGAAAGGATGTTCATTCAGCCCTAAGACTCATTAAAGAAACAAAGTTAAAAGTAAAATGCAGTACTTTTACTTAATCCTCTCATCAAAGACAGGCAGTGTTGACAAGGCTCTGTGGTCAGAGTGTGATATCCCTGGAAGTAGTGTGACAATAAGCACTATGTATACTGTTTCCTTCAGCACTTCTGTCTTCAGGCAGTTGAGAGAATTACCAGATAAGTACAAAGATGTATGCATGGTGATGTTTATTATAGCATTAATTGTTACAACATTAGAAACAACTGAAGTGAGGATTTGGTTCAATTATGGCATAGCTAGTCACTGTAATATTATATATTTCCTTGAATGAGTACCCCTTAATTAACCAGATCCTCAATATATAGAGAGATTTAGACCTGAGCATACCGACATAGATGTCCAGGATGTATTAAAAAAATAGAGAAAATATGAGTAAATGAGTATCTTTATAGAAACAATATGAAAAGCTCAAAACCATAATGTTAATTGTGATTTTTTTCCCCCTTGAGGAATTGTGACTGTTATTTAATATATTATTTCTTTGTTTTATTAAAATATGTCTAACCTGAATAAATGGAGTTTTAAAAACCTCAAACTTACTGCTGCCGAGTTGAGTCTGACTCTCAGCAGATTTCTGAGACTGTTGCTGTTCACAGAAATAGAAAGCTTTATCTTTCTCCCAAGGAGCAGCTGGTGGGTTCAAACTGCTGGTCTTGCAACCACTGGGGCTGACCTGCAGCCCAATGTGTAACCACTGTGTGTCAGGGTAACCAGCCCCCGACAAATCACCACAGGCCCGGCAGGCGCAACTGTACAACAAGAATATGTAAGGAGTACAGTAAAGTCAGAAAGAGAGAGAGCAGAGTGAGGGAATCAAGACACATTTCATGGTAGAAAGGCTCACCTCAGCCCTGGTCAGTGGTCCATGTGGACATGGGAGGCGGGAATGGCAGGAGAGAGGGGGATTTATTTCTAGCCTAGGCTTAGATATCTTTTTTTCGGGGGGAGGGGGGCGCTTAGATATCTTATGGGGCATGCAGGCCCCCTGGTTACAGGTAAAGACCCACGTCACAGGAAGGGGTTGTACTATAGGTAATGCAGTAATGGGAGGGGGGACGATCTAGGAAGGGGAGGGATTGGGGGTACACATTGTGACAAGGTGGGTGGATCCTAGATTCAGGAAGGCTGCTTAACTTTGGATGTCCCTGAGCAGGTTTGGCCACTTCTCTGGCTCTCCATGGAAACAATAACTATCCTTATAGGAAGGGTGTGAGCCCCACTACAGTGGACCAGGCAGTAGTCTGCTTGCTCTGGATGGCTGACTGCCTTCAGGGAGAATAACTAAGCATCTGACCTCCCATCATGTGCTGGCAAACAGCCTCTTAGGTTAGGCATCTCTTCAGGGGAGACAAAGACAACTATGCACGACACCACCCGGGCTCCTGACTACAAAGAGAGTGAGAAACAGACCCACCAACCAGGTCTCCCATTTGGTTGAGGCAAAAACCAAACTGTATCTCATTTTGCTGCTTTTTTTAGTGAACAAATGTTGATTTCAGTGGGAACGTCCCTCCATTGATGAAATAGATATTCGAGGGGGGGAAAGCATAATAAATGAAGCGTCTCCAGCTCTTATTAAGGAAGAGGAAACCACACTTCAGAGGGGCCTGGTGGGTCCTAGTGTTTGGACACTCTCGCGGGACCTCCTGCACCCCAGGAGTTTTTAACGGCTCTGTGGCCTGCGCTCCTCATTCTGTGTTGGTGTACTCTGCCATGTGGCCGGCTTACGCGGTGGAAGGAAAGTGTAATTTTGCACAGTGTGGTTATTCTGGGAGAGCTTTTTCCTGCTCTGCAGCCAGCATAGGCCACTCTTCCCTTCTCATTTCTTCTCCTGTCTCTCCTTATTCGCAGAGTACGCGGGTGGAGTTCGACCTGCCAGAATATTCTGTTCGTCGAAGATACCAGGATTTTGACTGGTTGAGGAGCAAACTGGAAGACTCCCAGCCCACTCATCTCATTCCCGTAGGTAGTAAGTCATGGCGGCTTAATACCTTTCTGGCATTGTCTCGGGGGTGTGGGGGGATGTCCACTGGCCGTAGGCCACAGGTGAACTCTACCTTGCGTTCTATACCAGACTGACCCAGGAAATGTTACGGAAAACATTTTGTTGGTGGCACTGTGTCATATGTTTCACTTTTTTGGGTTTTAGTTTCTGATTTGTTATAAAACATGCTAGCTTTCTCAGAGGTGAGTGGATGGGTCGATTTCCGCTTTGATTGTGGCAGTTGTATTTGGGGGGTCTGGATTGTCCTCATTGACTGCATTTTTTTAAGGTTGAAGCTTAGAAGGAGAGGGCTGACTGAGCATGGCCTGTGTTTCTCCTTCACAGACACTAGTCTCAGGGGTCAGAGCAGTGCACTCAGGAGACCAGTGTTTCCCAAAGTGGGTGCCTCTGTCCCCTGGGGGGCACTAGCATATTTCAGGGGGCTGCAAGATCAGATACCTACACGTTATCCTGGATTATGGGCTGTAGTACAGAAGTTTTCATCATAGGTTTTGGTTTTTTTTTTCCTGGAGAAGGGGTGAGTAAGCCAAATAGCTTTGGGAACCTGAGCTTTAGATAAGAGTTGACTCTTATCTAAAGCAGCATGTAATCCATTCTCCCACTGCATTTTTCATTCTGAATAACCCACCTAACCCTATTGATTCAAACAATATGAGGGGCTTTGAAGAGTTCCTGGAAAGGAATTCAAAGAGAATGGAATTTTCCCATGAGCCGTTGAAGCTCTCTCACAGAACGTTACTTTAACATTTATGTTTTTTAACTGAACAAGAAGAAATAAATGGTAAAAGAATGCTGTATCAACATGCACACACACATAATATATGCCATAGGTACTTGAGTATAAGCCGACCCGAATATCAGCCGAGGCACCTAATTTTACCACAAAAACGGCAAAAATGTGCTGAAAAACTGGGCTTATACACGAGTGTATACGGTATATGATGACTGCTTTCCTTAGTAAGGAATGCTGATGGTGCTACTAAGCTACTAACCTCAAGGTTAGTGGCTCAAACCCACCAGCCACTGTATGCCACCAGAAAGAGAAAGACTGTCTGGTCCTATAAAGATTTATAGCCTCAGAAACCCTGTATTGGGCCATTGAGTCAGAATTGACTCAATAGCATTGGGTTTGGGGTGGTTTCTTATTTGGGGGGGTGAGGGGGCTTTTAATAGCAATCCATTTAGACCCCAAATGTTTCTTTGGGCTGTGGGGACTGTAGGGCAATTGGGACCCTACGATTCTTTCAGTGAAACCATTGGTTGGACAATGACTTAGCACTCCCAGATTTCCTCTTAGCACTCTCCCACCCCCCACCCCCAGCCCTTCTTCCAGTCCCGGGGCGGAGGAGCCTGTCAACGCAGCCTGCAGTCTCTCCGTTTCCAGCCAGTGTGCATTTGATAGAAATGCCGGGGCCGGTCTGGGACGGCATTCTTCCTTTGAGAATTGCCAGTTTCCCCTCCCTTCATCCCCTCTGCAATCCAAGCCTTGAGCTTTGCTTTTCTGTCTCCTAAGAATGTAAAAGCATGCCTGCAGTGGGAGCCTGAGGTTTTTAAAAGCAGTTTTGAAATTGCTCCTCATACACGCAACACACATACACAAATTTAATTTGGCAAAATAGGCAGCTGGTGAATTTATTCTTTTAAAATAAGTTTTTAATTTTAGAACAGCTTTAGATATACAGAGTGATTGCAAAGATAGTACAGAGAGTTTTCACACACCCCACATGTAGTTTCTTTTACAGTGTCTTATGTAACATCTGACTTTATGGTATTAATGAAGCAATATCGATATGTTATTTTTAACAAGCATTCATTTCCCCCCGACAGTCCCTTTTCTGTTCCAGTAGCTTGTCCACATTGCATTAATTTAGTCCTCAAATCTCCTTGGTTGTGGAAGTTTCCTTTTTTCTTTTAATCATTTTATTGGGGGCTCTTACAGCTCTTATCACAATCCATACATCCATTCATTATGTCAAGCACATTGGTACATTTATTACCCTCATCATTCTCAAAACATTTACTTTCTACTTGAGCTCTTGATATCAACTCCTCATTTTTTCCTGCCTCCCCGACACTGCTTCCCTCATAAACCCTTGATAGTTTATAAATTATTATTATTTTCATGCCTTGCACTGACCGCTATCTCCCTTCACTCACCTTTCTGTTCTTCGTCTCCCTTCGTGGTGGTGGAGGTGGAGGTGGTGGGTTGTACATTGATCATTGTGATTGGTTCTCCCTTTCTCCCCCCACCTTCCCCCTACCCTCATGGTATCACTACTCCCATTATTGTTCCTGAGGGGTTTACCTGTCATGGATTCCCTGTGTCGAAAGCTCTTATGTGTACTGGTGTACATGCTCGGATCTAGCTGGATTTGTACGGTAGAACTGGAGTCATGATAGTGGGGGGAGGAACATTAAAGAACGAGAGGAATGTTGTGTGTTTCGTCAGAGCTATACTGCACCCTGGCTGTCTCGTCCCTTCCTTGTGACCCTTCTGTGAGGGGATGTCCAATTGTCCGATGGGCTTTGGGTCTTGTGGCAGAAACATAATCTCCTGTCAACTTGCAAAGGGGTAGAGTCTAGCCTGTCAATCAGGTCACAGCTTGATGGCTGCATTTGAGGGCGCAAAGGACATGAATAGTTTGCTGGAGGCGGGACACAGACACTCTCTGTGAGACATTCCTGTTGACAAGCCGCATGGATCTAAGCTGATAGAGCCAGAGCCCTTGAGCTGAAGGAGCCACGTGGAGACCCACACCAGAGCTGAGATGCTTCCATCACCACTGGATCCACAAGGCTTTCCACCCACTGGGCTGTGATCTTCCTGCGTTCAGCATCATTGCATGGCTGCGTGAGTCTAAAGAGGAATTTATGGATTAGTATCAACATATGGGATTATGTGGGACTTATGGACTTGATCTGGACTGGGCTGGGATGTTTTCTTAATGTACAATTGCTTTTTGATATAAAGTTCTCTCAACACAACATATGAGTGTCTCCCTGGATTTGTTTCCTCAGTCAACCCAGACTAACACAGGTCTCCACTCCGTGCCCCCTCCGTCGCATGGATATGATTGATTGTGTTGGGTCTTCCGATACCTGATAACTGATCCCATAGACACCTCATGATCACACAGGCTGATGTGTTTCTTCCATGTGGGCTTGGTTGCTTCCCAGCTAGATGACTGCTTGTTTATCTTCAAGCCTTTAAGACCCCAGATACTATATCCATTGATAGCTGGGCACCATCAGCTTTCTTGACCATATTGGCTTATGCACCCATTTTGTCTTCAGCGATCATGTTTGGAAGGTGAATATCACGGAATGCCAGGTTTTTAGAACAAAGTGTTCTTGTATTGAGAGAGTACTTATGTAGAGGTCCAATGTCTGTCTTTTACCGTATTATTTAGCTTTTTCCCACTTCTTATGATTTTATGTGAAGGTTTAGATCAGATCATCAGTTTCATATTAAAAAATTTACACATATTTTATTTCAACTCACCCTTTTCAGTCCCCTCAGAGTACTGGTGCTTATTCCACTTCCTCCTGGTGTTTTCCACTTCCATTTCTTCTCCTTTCCCTGCCCTCTGTCCTTGGGTAAATGCTGCCCTTTTGATTTTAGATGGCTGATTATTCTCCCGTAGTCATGAGTTTAATTTCACACCTGAAGAGTGTCCAAGGGCCACAATCTCCACAGTCTTGAGGGTCCTGTTAGTCTTTATCCAACCACTCAGCCTGGCCCCTTTGAGGAGTTTGAATTCCATTTCACATTTTCCTCTCGCCCGATCCAAGACTTCCCAAGGTGACCCTGTCTAGAGCAGTTAGTCACGGTGGCTGGGCACCAGCTAGTTCTTCTGGCCTCAGGATTCTGGAGACTGGTGTTGGAACTAATTCTTTCCCCTTGAATTTCATTGCTCTGCTTCCTCCAAATGCACCTTACATGGCTGCTCATGAGCTTTTAAGACCTCAGTCTCCGCTCTCCAAAATAGGATGTCGAATATTGTCTTTGTGAATGGTCTTAGACTAATTGCCTTGGTGTTCCCCAAGAGTATGATGCTGAGCCCCTGGACCCAGGTGACTCAGTCCCTCAAAGTGTTTGGTTATGTCTATGAAGTTCTCATCACTTGGCTCCATGTATACGGCACCCCATTCATGGACATGCAGATAGCCTCTGTCAGACCTAGATGTGCTGGTGGGAGTGCTACCTCTCTCCCTCCCATGCGGGGTTAGCCAAGCGCCTGCGCATGGATCACCACGATGGCAAGATTTCAGGTAGAACAATAATTGCCTGTGCTGCCTTTAACTCTTGTGAAACCTCTCAGTGTCTTTTCTTGTCTCCATCCTTTTTCCTAACCTCCCTTTATCGTCTACTGCCTTCCCCTTCACCCAAGTTTACACTTGTGTACCTTACAGCCTGTGACTTCCCCTCCGCCCTTTCCTTCTCACTCCTGCTGACCCTCAAAGAACGCTGCTTTTAGTGTGAGCACCTTTTCTCAGAACAGCTGTCTCATACAATATTTGTGCTTTTGTACTTGACTAATTTCACCCGGCATAATGTCCTCCAGCCTCATCCATGGGATAAGGTGTTACCCAGTGGCATCGTTATTTTTCCGCATTGCTTAGTAATCGCTTGTGTGCGTGGACCCAGATTTATTTATCCATCCTTCTCCTGGTGGGCATTTAACTTGCCTCTATCATTTTGCTGTGGGAATAAATGCCCTCACCCCAATATTAATAAGTGAAAAGAAAACTAAATCCCCAAATAAACCTACTACCATCAATCCAACCCATGCCCCTAGGGCTTCTCCCGGTATTAGTAGCAAGGCTAAAAAAGACAAATATGATGATGGCAACATATGTACCAATGTGCTTGACACAGTGGATGGATGGATGGATTGTGATCATAGCTGAAAGAGCCCCCAGTTAAATGATTTTAAAGAAAGACAAATAGCAAATG